ACATCCTTGTCTCTAAGCTGGAGGGTCATGGATTTGATAGTAGGACCACTTGCTGGATAAGGAATTGGCTAGACGGCTGCACTCAAAGACTTGTGGTCAATGGCTCAATGTCCAAGTGGAATCCAGTGAGAAGTGGTGTTCCACAGGGGTCAGTACTGGGACCAGTGTTGTTTAACATCTTTGTCGGAGACATGGACAGTGGGATCGAAATTGATCAAATTTTAAAAAAAATCTGCCTAATATTTCCAGAAGAGATTAGCAACTTTGAACTGAAGTCCAATATAGCTTTCTTTTCCTCAAATCCCTACTAGATTGCTGAGCAGGCTATATAAATTGCAAAATATGCAAATAATTACTTAATCAGCACTCTTCATCCTAGGTAAAGGTCAAAGAATGTATCGTAATTATCTCTAATTTTTCTACTATAAGAACATTTTAAAGTTTAAAACATTGTACTCATTAATTATATTTAGTTTTCAGTATTCATAATGTGAATTGTTATTCATTCTGATTTAACAGGTCTGATATTCTTACGTAGGTTTTTTTGATTTGATAAGTACTTTTTTTCTAGAGTGTTATTCCTTCACAAATCATGCCAATTGTATTTTGCTATGAAATTAAATTAATGTTTTTGGAAATAAGCACAATTATATTGATCTCTTTTTTTGGAGACTGAATGCACAAAATACTTGAACTCAAAAGAATCAAATAAATTTTAAATTTGTGTACCCCTTAACCAAACCTCTTTTCAGTATTTGCTGAATTCTGTCCTTTGGTAATGACACTGATTATTTTTAAACCCTTCTGGTGAGATTTATTTTTGAAATTGTACTATTGAACTGTTGAATAGTAAATAATGTGAAGATTATCTAAGAGTTTAGTTTAAGTAGTATAGGACCTATTGACCATTTGGAAACCTCAGAGTGTATGTGCCTAAAGGTGGATGGCAAACTTTTCTTGTGGTGCATGAGAAAAAAAATCTCTAGATTCATCTAGTCCAGTATTCTGTATCTGAAAGTGGCCAGCTGCAAAAGTTTAGGGAAGAATATAAGAAAATGGCAAGTATATTGCAGTACCCCACCAGATCACTCCTAGAAACTCCCCTATTGGAGTCTAAACAGATGGTGTCTTCATAGACATGGGTAATTTTCTAAAAGATACAGAATTCTGAGAAAATAACTCTACAATCAGAGTTTAAGAACATATTTCCTAGTTTTTCCTCTTTATCTGCCTTTTAGTAATGACTCTCTCAGTAGTAATAATCTCCAACAAAAGGAAAAGGATGAATTTGCTTTTAATTTGCTATTAGTAAGATGTCTGTTAGTATCACAAACATGTATTTTTCATAAGGATTACAGGTTTAGGACTTGTTCCATACAGTTGTATAATGAAGTTTTATTGAGTTGCCACCATTGTCTTAGATCAGATGATGCAACTTAGTTAAGAGACTGCAATTACTTGAGGATATTCTTCTGGAAACATTTTTATAAAACAATACAAAACAAAAACAAACACAGAAACAAAAAACCCAGCTAAAAATAGAGAATTGTGGTTTATCATAGCAACAATAAAAGAATGGAAACTTCTGTCCAAACTTTCTGCAGGGCTGCAGTAACCTGTTACCTAATAATTAAATACATGGAAGTAAAATTAACCTCATTTAGAAAAATACTGCGATATTTTGTCAGAACAGAAATTTATTTTTAAAGTAATGCTGCTGATAGTTCTTATAGGTATAGATAGATGCAGCTAGATAAACCCAAAATTCTAGTAGCTGATTCATTTGCTTGTGGCTGTGGATATGTTAAAAAGTAAGGGTGTAAGTATTTTAACTACTAGTGTTTTACCTTTTGTCAAGATAAATTTGAATTATGAACTTGAATAAAGTATATGATTTAATGAATTTAGGATTTGCAATTTATCAAATAAGATTATGGTGTTCCCTTAGAAATTTTAGTGCTACTTGTATACCTGAAGTTGAATCTCATAGAGGAGATTAGTCCAGCTTCAATTATGTGCAGAAACAGCAGGGACAGGCTCAAGTTTCCAGTCTATGTCATTCCTTATTATTCTGTTCTAGTTTGGTCTTTCTTTAAAGTAAAGGAAATACTACAATTGCTATAGTTAACAGAATATTATAACTAAAAGTTCTCAGTCCTTTTACAATTTCTTAATTGTGGACAAACTGCAAGGCTGAACATCTTGGGTTTCCTGAAAACCTTTCAAATCACCAAATGAAACGGTATTAAAAGAGTAAATGAAGAAAAGCTTTTTGGTAGTAAGATTCAATACTTTGAAATGGTATGTTAGAAATTATTTTCCAATTGTATTTGAGACACATATGTTCGTTCCCCTTACAATTATGATTCTTTTGTCAGCTTATGGGTTATGAATGGCCAAAATTCAGGAATCACAGCTATTTAAAGTAGTGACTTCTTGGAACCGAGTGTTGTGCAAAGAAGAAAGGTAAAATTTGAGCAGCTGAACATGACCCAGCAACGTGCACTTGCAGCCCAGAAAGCCAGCCATATCCTGGGCTGCATCCAAAGAATTGTGACCAGCAGGTCAAGGGAGTTGATTCTCCCCCTCTTCTCTGCCATCATGAGACCCCACCTGGAGTACTGCATGCAGCCCTGGAGTCCTCAGCACAGGAAGGACGTGGACCTGTTGGAGTGAGTCCAGAGGAGGGCCACAAAGATGATCACAGGGCTGGAGTGCCTCCCATACAAGGACAGGCTGAGAGAGTTGGGGGTGTTAGCCTGGAGAAGAGAAGGCTCCAGGAACACCTTATAGCGGCCTTCCAGTACCTGAAGGGGGCCTACAGGAGAGATGGGGAGGGACTCCTCGTCAGGGAGTGTAGTGATAGGACGAGGGGTAACAGTTTTAAGCTGAAAGAGGGTAGATTTAGATCAGATATTAGGAAGAAATTTTTTACTGTGAGGGTGGTGACGCGCTGGAACAAGTTGCCCAGGGAATCTGTGGATGCCCCATCCCTGGAGGCGTTCAAGGCCAGGCTGGATGAGGCTTTGAGCAACCTGGTCTAGTGGGAGGTGTCCCTGCCCATGGCAGGGGGGTTGGAACTCAGTGATCTTTAAGGTTCCTTCCAACCCAAACCATTCTACAATTCTATGAAAATATTGATTTCTGTGGAACAGAAAATCATAGAAAAAGAGAACGTTTTTTTTTTTTTTTTCTCTGTTACAGCTTCCACTAATTCATGCTCTGCTGTACTCTCCGTTTCAGAAATGAAACTTTTTGTTTTACCCATAACGAATTACATCCTGAACTTAGCAGCCATACTGCAACAAATCACTTAAAAGTGTATGAAGATCTTCTCAGGAATCAGTTTGAAAGATGAAAAAAAAAAAAAAGTGTGTTTTTAATTACTGTCTAGATTTAGTTCTAAAATTTTATTACCTTACATATTACCTTACAACATAGGTATTACTCAGTATTTGAAATTATATTTAAAATCCTTTCTAAAAGCAGACAAGAAATGTGTTTGGGGTTTTTTTTTAGACAGTAAAGTAATACAAACATTCTGATATCCAAAAATGGATAGTTGTACTTACTGCTTTACCACTTTAGTTGTATGGTGTTGACATTGCAGATAAATGATGTAATCATAAGCCCAATTGCTTATTACTTAGTATGTGAGACTGTCCTTGAGATGAACCTTAAAACAACCCTGGACCGCCTTACTTAGATAAAAGTCCTATTGACTTTACTGGAATAAGTATTTCAAGGTATAAAATGTCTAAAGAGCCACGTGCTGAACATTTATCTGTAAATCAATTAAGTTATTACACTTAACCTGCTTTCAGTCTTCTCCATTATATTCTTCCCAAAACATCTTTTTTCTGTGCTGTTCTCTATGATCACAGAAAATGGTAAATCCTGTAGAGACAATGCTCTTTGCTCTGCAAATGAATTTCCACCAAACTATTGAGTTATCTTCAGTTGTGGTTCATCTTGAAGAATGAAAGTTGAACGGAAAATTAAGTATTCAGAGTAGCTTTAGACATTTTTCCACTTAATGTCACACTTCACAGAACACACTTCGAGGTATTGTGAATCATGTTTTAAACAAGCAGGCTTTAAATATACTGACAGAGAATAATAGAAGAGGGTTTAATAATATTAACAATCTTCTTACTTTTCCAGTAGCACACTGTTTTTCCTTACAGTGTTTTTTTCTAGATTGCAAAATGTAACAAATGGACAATTCTGTGATTCTGTAATTTACACAGTAATTTACTGTTTTATAGGTTGGAACTTGGGATCCATTGAGTGGCCTTAACATGACAGAGAATCAGAAAGGAAAACCGGCAAACATCACAGATTCCCTGTCCAATCGCTCTTTAATCGTTACCACCATCTTGGTAAGTAATTGTATTTGCATTTCCAGAAATACAGTTGTACAGGAAGGCTAATAGAATATGCTATACTAATTACAACAGTAATGAAGAGTCTGTAGTATACATTACAGTTACTTAGAAATTACCGTATCATGAATGAACTCCAATTGTTAAGCTAGTCATGGATATTTACTCTCCTCTAAATTGTAAGTAAATTATCACAATTTTAGAGTTACCTCAGCTGATTAGTAGTTTCAGTTTCCTTATTATTGACCAAAATGTTTGGATCCTTCACGAAGCTGTTAATTTCAGCACCGTATTAGAGGACAAAAGGTGTTTGTTTAAAAAAGTGGTTTGGCTATTAGCCTGATGATTTTAGCCAGCAATATTTCCTGCTTTCATTTGCTAATCTAATACCATGATATAACCTCTAAGGAAAGTACAAAGTATTTAACATTTCTTTTCATCATTATTATTTGGTTATTAAGTTTAAATTTTTAATCACACAGAAATTTAATTGTCATTTGAACTATATTGGAAGTAACATCTTTTTCGTTGCCACTGTTGACAAATTCACAGTGATGAATGAAGCATTTTTTATTTATAATTACATATATTTAGTTATGTAAAAAAAAAATGTTTACTAATTTCCACACCATAGTTTTGAAGTAGTAATTTTAATTTTGACACAAATGAGAAACTTTACAGAAGTGTGTCTGCTGTTTTTTTCTGCTGCCACCATTATAGTGAATTTGCAGATATCAAAAAATAATTCACTTCTCAAGTTTTATTTTTTAATAAGAAGCTTTTATCTACCAACATACATTTTGACATTTCAAACTAGAATTAATTTTCCTAGTTGAATAGATACAAATGCCAGTGTGCTTCTAACCTTTTGTGTAACATAAGACATACTGTTTCATCCACTGGGTAACTTTTTGTTTACTTATAAGGTCTATTTTAATATTTACAAGTTATAGAAAATCTTCCGAAATTCTTTGTTTCATTTATTACACAAATTGAAAATCCATCCCTGACATATGGATGGAACATGGCTGACTCACTTTCAGACATAGGTTGTTGTTATGCTGTCTTGGGTTTGTGCGGCAAGGTTTTGGTAGTGGGGGGAGGTACAGGTGTGGGTTCTGTGGGAAGCTGCTAGAAGGTTCCCCTTTGTCTGATAGAGGTGAACAATGCCAGACGGTTTGAAGAGGTACCTGGCGCTGGCCAAGGCTGAGCCCATCAGCGACAGTAGGAGCACCTCTGTGATAACATATTTAAGAAGGGGAGCTGGGAAAACCTGCTCAATGGCAACTGCAGAGGGAAAGAAGAATGAGAATATGTGAGAGAAACAACTGTGCAGAAACCAAAATTAAAGAAGGAGGGGGAGGAGGTGCTCCAGGCTCTGGAGCAGAGGTTACCCTGCAGCCCGTGGTGCAGCCCATGGTGAGGCAGCTGTGCCCCTGCAACCATGGAGGGTAACGGGGGAGCAGAGATACACCTGCAGCCCGGGGAAGACCCCATGCCAGAGCAGGTGGGTGCCCAAAGGAGGCTGTGACCCCGTGGGAGACCCACACTGGAGCAGTCTGTGCCTGAAGGACTGCACCCCATCGAAGGGACCCACACTGGAGCAGTTCATGAAGAACTGCAGCCCGTGGGAAGGACTCACGTTGGAGAAGTTCATGGAGGACTGTCTCCTGTGGGAGGGACCCCGTGCTGGAGCAGGGCAAGAGTGTGAGGAGACCTCCGCCTAAGGAGGAAGGTGCAGCAGGTACAACGGTGTGATGAACTGACTGCAACCCCCATTCCCTGCCCTGCTGCGTTGCTTAGAGGAAGGAGGTAGAGAAGTCAGGAGTAAAATTAAGCCTGGGGAGAAGGGAGGGGCGGGGAGAAGGTTTTTTTAGTATTTGGTTTTATTTCTCATTATTCTGCTCTGATTTGTTTGGTAATAAATTAAGCTAACTTCCCCAAGTTGAATCTGTTTTGCCTGTGACAGTAATTGGTGAGTGATCTCTCTCTGTCCTTATCTCGACCAATGAGACTTTTGATGTATTTTCTCTACCCTGTTCAGCTGAGGAGAGGGAGTGATGGAGTGGCTTGGGTGGTCACCTGGCATCCAGCCAGGGTCAGCCCACCACATGTGCTAAAACCAACACAGTTTTACCACAACTGCTTTTTGTACTGTTAATTACAGTTTATAAACATATAATCTCTTGGTTTCTCTTTTATAAAATGTAAACTAACCTCTTATAGTCTCTTAAAGTAAAAGCATGTTTTCTAGAGTTATTAGTCTGTCTTTTTTCTTCCCACTGCCCTTCACAAATTTTCAGATTTTGTGTGTATAAGAACTACTGCATTATCAAGTAACATTTCTTAGTAATTCCAGTTGATGCCCCTATATTCCCATTATTTGATATCTGATATCCTGCCTAGGATTTTTCTTGAAAGATTCAACTCATACATAGCTACATTTCACATTTTTCCTAATTGCTTTCTAGAATTGCTGCTTTCTGGAATATAGTCCTATCTTTATTCGTGACCTGTTCCCTTTGTTACTCCATACTCAACCAGCCTTTGTATCATCTGCACAGTTCATTAGAAATCATTGTATACTTGATTCCAGATCAGTGACAACAGTACTGGGACAAGGATCAATCCCTGCAAGAATGCATAAGAAATACTCAATAACTTAGGGTGTTTCAAGTTTATTTATATTTTAACATCTATCTATTGATAAGGTTTGAGTTCATATACTTTATGTACTACACAGATTTTGTATAGTGTTACTTACAATTCCATGATTTCATTTGAAGTAATAACCTCAAGAAATATAAGCTTCACAATTGTTAATAGCAGTGCTATCAATGAGCATTGATTTTGGACTGGTAAAGTGCACAGAAGTAGATTTCTGAGATCTATGATAGCAGTTGCTTTCTGTAATCAAGGGTAATCTTTCTTTGAAGTGATAACTTTTGTTTAGTGGTGTTTTATAAGCATTTGTGCTCTTTGTACATATCTAGATAAAATAATAAAAGAAATATGAGGACTTTAAACTGGTGTTATGAGTTGCTCTCTTGTAACTGCCTTTTATATTTTTCAGTGAAAGTTTTCGTTATTGCAATAGCTTTTCAGCTATGAAGACATTATAAGAGTGATACCCAGAATAATGAAATGAATTAAAAATTGTTCTGATCCAGAAAGCACCTGTACTAGCTTACTTTGGTAGCTCTGTCTTTCTGTGCCTAAGAAACACATTTCTGTTGGACAGAAAGCATATTAATGAGTATTCATTTTTGTAGTAATGCAAAGGAACAATATAAAATACTACAGCTCCTAGAAACATATTTTCTTCTTCATCACCTTCCTTTTCTCTCCTTTTTTTCAGTATGGAAAATACTGCTTTAAAAAAAGGCAGTTCTCTCATTTAAGCTGTCCACATGATTTCTCTATGCTGTGTTTTCACTTTAATAATTCTCTATAATAGTCTATAGCACACTGCCAGCTATGGAGTCTTGATCAGTTTTCTCTGTAGTTTGCTTTAATGCTCACTTTTCTTTTAAAGATACCAGTCTTTCTTTTCATTTTTAAGTCTGTCTTCTGAAATTCTGAACGATATCTTTTTCCTCCTTTATGTTGTAATCATTGAGATCTTTACCACTGTGAGTATAACCTGCTTTTTCAGTGGTGGTTGAGTCTCCTAAATATAAAAATATATTGATAGGCAAAATAGTAGTAGATAAACTACAATTCATAAATTCATCTACTGCAAGTAAAGAAACAACTATGGGATCTTTTTTTGTTCTGAATTGTGCATAATACATGCTATAGGTAACCATTGTAAAAATTATTCCTTGGTTTATGAGCAATCCAGTAGCTCTATTATGAAAAAGGGTCAGGGTTTCCAGGACTTTGTCACGTCTTAGAAGTCTACTGGCATGTAGTTTTGGTGCAGAAGATTGTCTGTTTTCTAAGTTCTGGGTCCATAGCAGCCCAAAGCACCAGCTATACATGTCTAATGGAGTGATGGTCAGCTTTTTCTTTTGGGGGCGAGGGGAACATTTAAAAAAATAATAATAATAATACAAAAATCTTGTTTGTATCTTTTTGTTATGGTTTGACCCTGCTGGCAACAAATACCAGGCAACCCCTCACTCACCCTCCACCTATAAACATCAGTATGTTATCTACCCTCTTCTCAGCACAAACCAAAAACATAGCCTCTTACTAGTTACTATGAAGAAGGTTAACTCTGTCTCAGCCAAAACCAGGACACTTTTATAAGCGTAGCTTTGGATAACTTAATTTTTTTTGACAATACTTCTTTATTTTATTTTAATGCTTTGGAACTTCAGAATTTCTTCTAGAATTAAAATTCTGCATTCTGGATAATCTATGTTCTAAACAAACAACAAAAACCCTTTCAAGTTCTTAATAAGGTTTTCTTATAATTTGATTCTTCTAAATTGATTTTGTTATGCCAGCTAACGAAACTCTGATTTTTTTTTTCCCTTTAGTTTTTAGATATAAATGTCTACATATTTTTGCTCCTGTACATATTCTACCTTTACTTTGGAACCTTTTTAACTTTGGAATGAAGGAACTCCTTTCCTTTCCCCTATAGCTTTTATGTGCGTTTCTGTATCTGCTTACATCAAAGCTCAGAAAAATTCACAGTTGTCAAGTTTAATTTTCTCAAGGAATGTGTGAAAGTTATGAAAGGTGTGTGATAATCTCAAATTCAGAAGTTTTGGGGTTACTTTACTTTTGAAATGTGAAATTACTTTTTTTTACTATACTTCTCTGGAAAAATATCTTTCATTATTTTAGAAGAACGAATATTTATAATGGATTTTCAAAACAATCTTATTTAGTTCAAAATGCAATATCACCATACTGTATTTTATTTATAAATGCTGCTTTCTCAAATAAATAGAAATCTGATGCCATGTAAATACCATCTTGTATTCAAAATAAAGATATAAAATCAAGCAAAGGCCAAGGTTTTAGCATTTTTGTTTGTTTTT